AATGCCAAGGTATGGTAAGCCATTAATTCAACATTTACTTTCTTCGTTGCTAATAGTCCACCACACACAACTTCTCATTTGTCACAGTCAGGTATTATGATCTGTAGTTTTCATACTATACATACTGATACACACGCTAGAACTTGAAGATTTTTCATTATCTTCTAAATCCTATGCATTCTGCCCTCTATCTTTAACAGATTTAATATCATATAGGTGTTGTCATTTCCTTAGTGGACAGCAGCATCACTACAAGCTATGCACAAGTGTAGTACATATTTTTTGCACATTTGGATTGCCCTTCTGTATTTTATTGTAATTATCACAATAATCGATTGCATTAATACCTATCTCTCGAGGAAGTATTGTCCCAGTTTGAAACGTATTAATGTTTTGTAAGTTTACTAATTGGTTTGTACGTTTACTGAAGGGAACAACTGATTACCCACAAGTGCTCAGATTCCGTATTATGCTTCATTCGGTTATGGATTGACATTAGCTATAGACATTTGAACTGGTTTTCAATGGTTACTGCGAGATGTAACCAGTCTGTTATCACAGGGGTAAGGTAAAGTTGTAGAAGAACGCTTTCACGCAATGGACCTTAGGAATATCGCACTATTTAGTGCTTTGAAATGCATCCCACGTTAGTTAAATGCTCCAACAAAAGCAATAACTCCTGTTTGTTTATGTTGCTGCAGTCTTGTGTTACTAACTGATGAAACCTACTTCTGCAGGCTATGCAGGCATGAATTTTCTAGTGAGTGAGTAAGCAGACTGCCCTGTAATCTGATTCTACCATTTGATATTGTATTTATGTCAGTTGTGTCCCTCCTTTAGCTATTCATTAGCAGATTTAGTATACATCTTTTTATTGCCGTTTACTTACATCGCATTTACATTTATATATACATTTATACTTATATATACATTTATATATTATATATTATATTATATATTATATTATATATATTATATACATTTTTCTACTTGATAAAATACATTTTATGCACTATTGAATCACTAATGAAGTTCATTAGTACTTCAGACAAACAAGTGCACGCAAACTAGAAACTGGAATGAGAATCAGGTCAAATATTAAATATAAATATGTAACAGTAAATAGATCACTCATAAACATCATGTGGTTAAAGAACTCCAGTAATTTATAAAATGTTATAGAAATCACTTTTATATGATGCATAATATTACCGCGGCATGTATGTAAGCAGGTGCAGATTTCCTTATCACAGTAATCGCTACTACTAAAAATTGTAAAATTGGCCACAATTACTTAAGCTGCTATTAAAATTACTTATATATAAGTCCATTTGTCAGCAATATGCGAGCCTTCTAGCTCCTTCCCACATAA